AAGGAAAAATTGCATTTACTTAGAAAGTCTGATCTGAGTATGCACGAGTCTGTAATATCTGTGACATATGCCTTGTGATGGTAAGCTGAACTTGCAAACATGATGTTGTTTAACTTTCCGTCGATATTGTTTAACATTCTGTCAATGTCAGTTTTACCACCTGACATAGTCTGGAGGCTAATTCAGGGCAGTGCCTAATACGTTTACCTTCCAATTGTTCAACCAAGTGTTTTCGGATGATGATAACAGTGGCTGTTCTATTTATGGTGATACTGGAAGTAACTCCATTTATGTCCCATGATGAAAAGTCCATTATTGTGACCAGTCTTTGCAGAAATCTTGAGTGCTTTAAAATGGCACTTTTCAATATATGGGAATCTTGCAAGATGGCCACAAATTAGTTCCCTGTTCTTTGCTCTAGGAATAGTATTAACGCCCATGGCTTGGGATGTTCTGCACTTCCTTCATACGTGGCCTGAACCTCTGCAGTTTCACCACTTCAGGGCTGGTTTGTTGTGACTCCTATTCCATCTCAGGGCATTCAATTGCCTCATTAAATCACCTACACAAACTGTCGGTTGATTCGTTAGCTTCTTGACGTGAGCAGCTCTGATTGGGTGGCGTTCTCTATGCATTGTTTGCTGAGCTGCCCCGAATTTGATGGCGTACACTAAAGTGATTTTTGGATCTTTGACATCTACCATTTGCTGGGCTTTCTGTCTCAGGACTCTAGCTGTCATCGATGAAGTATTGCAGAGATAGGTCTTTGCTTCTGATGGATAGTCTTAAACAGCAAGATGTGTCAGGCTTTCAACATCTGTGGTGAACTCCTGAACTGTTCCTATGGGCTTCTGTTGCCAAGATTTCAACTGAAACCTGCTGTAATCTTTTAGACATTTCTCACAAAAACGCAGCTCTAGTGCTCCGGAGAGAGCTTCAGAGTCTAAAGTCTTTTTTAGATTTTGAAGGATATCTGCTGCATCTGCTGTTAGTGAAGCAGCAAGATAGCATCCCATCCATTCTTGTTTGTCACTAGAGAGAACTGAGTCTTGTGCACTTGCTTCTAGGTCTTTCCATCATATGTAGAGAGTTTTATAAAGGTCGGGTTGTCATTTATATATGAATTTGAAGGTATCAAAATTGTGTCCATCTTTCATTATGGATGTTTTTAGGCTATCAACTTGTTTGGCAACAGCAGCAGAAACTCATTATCAATTTCTACAACTTTTTTTTCAACCATATCTATTCTGCCTTCCACAGCCTAGAATTTGTTTTCCATTATGGCTATAATTTCTTTTTTGAGTTCTTTTTTGATCTGCTACAGTCTTTCCTTGAACTCACTAAACAGCCCCTTCCACTTTTCTTGATCTGCTTTAGTGTCTTTTCAGCCCGTTTTCATCTCTCTTTTAACAGCTTTCATCTTTTTTTTAATGGATTCATGGCCCACTTTCATCTCTTCTTTAATGAAATTGTTGGCCCCTCCCAACTTTTGTTGAACAGTTTTCATGTTTTTTCTTCTTTAAAGGATTCTTTGTCTGGTTTATTTCTTCTTTAAATGCAGCAAAGGCTGTCAGCAGTTGTCGCAGATTGCTCCTGAGAGGAGTGCAAATAGGTGTCTGCCATTTGACAAAAAAATAGCATTACCAGTAAGTTATGTTTAAACTTGTCCGAAGTTAAACACCATATCGTAACACTGGGTATCTGCTAACAACATAACCTTGAAATATTCACGATTTTGTATCAGCATCATATACCTATTTCATGCAAAAATGTCAACTTTAGAGCCGAATGAGCATTATTTGTGGAAACTTTTGGCTTACTTATCTAATTTGAAGAAATCTGCAGCTAAGGAGCATCTATTGCTTGTAGAAGCATATGGCAAGACTACATTAAGTGCGAGAAGTTGCATGAGTGGTTTCAAAAGGAAGTATTAATTGATGAGAATTGGTGCCAAACGCAAGTAGAACTTGCACTTACATTAGATGTGACTCAACAAGAATTTCACATCATTTAAAACTAGTGGGAAAAATTTGAATGTAAGGAAAGCAGGTCCCATATGTACTGAAACCACCGAAAAACATTGAACACCAATTTTTACACGTGAAATGCTACTTGCCAGGCATAAACAAAAGGTTTTTTTGCATCATATTGTCACTGGTGATGAAAAATATAATCACTACGATAACCTAAAGAAGATGAAATCATGGGAACCACCTGGCAGGCTTCAACATCGACAACCAAGTTGGTTAGAAAAAAAAAAAAAAAAAATCATGGTGTGTATATGGTGGGATCAACTTGGTGTCATATGTTATCAGTTGTTCAATCCGAAGAAGACCATTACAAAGGCTCTGTACTGAACACAATTGATGAGACTGAGACAAGCACTAAAAGAAAATACGCCCACTACTATTCCAGACATGATAAATTATTGTCCTGCATGATAACGCTTATCCACAAGTTTCAGCACTAGTCAAAACCTACTCAGAAACACTCAAATGAGAAGTTTTCTCCCTCTCGCTGTATTTACCAGGCATTACTCCTTCTAATTACTACTTGTTTTGATTGATGATGCATGACCTGTCTGAGCAGTGCTTTGCATCATTTGAAGGTATCAAAAATGGTGCTGATTTGTGGATAGCTACGAAAGATGAAATATTCTTCTGATGTGGTATCTCTGTGTTGCCAGAAAGATGGAAAAAGGTATTGGCTAGCAATGGACAGTACTTTAATTAAAACATAACATTACTTAAACTTTCACAATTAATGCTCAATTTTTGATAAAAAAATGGACTTACTTGTACTCTTGATAAATTAAAAATTAATAAAATTAATGAAGGAGGGAAAAAAGCAGTTAATTGTAGATATGATTAAAAAGGTAAAATATGAAAAGGAAGATTAAATGAAAGAGGAAAGGAAGATCAAAAAATGTCAAAAAAAAAAAAAAAAAAGAAAGAAAATAAAAAAAAAGAAAAAATGAAGCAGAAAAACAAGCAGTTGAAGATATAATGTGTGTGTATTTTGCTGTGTTTTGCTGTGAATATTATCATTCACTTTCAAAGAAGCAGAAAATAAATCGATTATTTCATATATGCCATAATTATAACATAACATTGCTGATAATTCGATTCATAATAAAGTATTATTTTAAGTACATGAAAGAAGAAAAACAAATTTTAAATTATAGCACTCAATAAATAAGGTAAAAGTCTAATATATTTATATAGTTTGTATAAAATTATGTAATTAAAAAATTAAAAAAAAGATTTTATGATGCTCTAAATACCTTAAATGATTGAGCTAGCTAAATCTAGTCCAAATGTTGAAAAATCATGAACAATTGAAAATCAGAAATAGAATCAAATGTAAACCAATGATAAACTAAGCTTTTCTTGTTTTTCTCAGAGCATAAAAATATTGTTATATTTCTGTACGGGTTTGGGGATTTGGAGTGATTAACGTCAACACTTGATGAAGAATGGAAACACAATTTATTAGCTAGTATTACTCAGGACAGTTCCAAAATGAAGTTTACAGTCATCAAGAAACTGTGACATACGCACTGAAATAATCAGCAACACAACCTTCAGGCTATAAATGGTGAAGACACCTTCATGGCAAAGCACCAGAGTACAGCTTCCGACTCAGTTCAATCGTTCTCGGAACTCTTATGTATTCTCGAGACTCCAGCCATAAGGCTGTACCGGTGAAGACTGTTTCACAGCAAAGCACCAGAGTGCAGCTCCTGACTCTGTTCGGTTGTTCTTGGAACTCGCCGCAATATCGAGACCCTCTACACTGCAACTCGCAATTCACTCGATAGACTCGACAATCACTCTCTAGACTCGCAATACTCTCGACAACCAACTTGACTCTAGACTGATGATCAACACACTATACGAGGCACTGACTGAAAGTCTGCATACCAGCAGGGTTTATATAGCTTTTGTCTTGTGTTCGAGAACACTCTGGGCCAAACCGGTAAGAATTCGTTCCAGAAGGTTCCCCATCCGTCTTTGGCATATTGCCAATTTTTTGCCAAATGGGCGATTTCATGCCAAAAACGACAACCCTGCCTTCCCTTGCCCTTTTCTGGCAACCTTAAAACCACTTTGCGGAGAAGCTATCTTACCACAGCTGGACATTTCGTAATAATATGATAATCCCCTTAAACCGGAATGAATATCCTAGCATATTTAGTTAATGCTAACTAATGAGGTAAAAAAATGCATAGCTTACAGTAGCAAATCACTTGTATCAAGATTGAAAAATATTCTATTTATAAATCAATAAATCAGAAATTCTGATCTGAAAGAAATATTTCATCATGAATTAAGTTTGTTGAAATATAACAAATACTCCAAATCATTCACATCATGCATTATTCATTAAGTAAAACTCTGAAAGTAAATTCATTGCTTTTCAAACATGTAATTTCCATATGCAATTTCATTGACTGTCTCCAGCGGCAATGTATCCCGTCATGCATGGTAATCATGGCTTCCAAAGCAGATACTACAGACATGCTGACATCTCAGAGATAAGTTTCCCTGTGTAGACGGTCTGAGGAAGGTGCCCCAGATATATTGGCTCAGAGATATGTTTCCTCATGGAAATGGGCCTTAAGAAGGGAAAATTTTTATGTTATTTTAATTTTGTTTATATATTTATTTGCTTTTTGGATTGGTGGTCTGAAGCTCTGGATACGAGTTCATTCCAGATATTGGACTTCTGGATTTTGGACCTTATACTGTATTTTTTAGGTTTTATTCTTTTTATCATATAATATTTATTGTAAGCCTCTTTGAAAAGTATTTAATTCTTAATTGGTTCACGTAAAAAAAATATCATTTATTACAAATAAATAAATGAACTTCAGCCTTCTTTTTTTTATTTTTATTATTATTATATGTTTGTGAATGTAAACAAAATACCACAATTATTTTGATTATCAATTCTAAGGATTTAAAGAGTGTTTAGCACTAAAATTCATCATATTTTAGTGTATACTTCAGACTCATATTCCACATGGAGTACACCTTCTGTGAAATCTTTCCATCGTTTGAAGAAGTCTGATGGTCCTATCAGAAAAAAAAGGCGACGTTGTGTAGGCTGCTATAAACGTCATCGTATTCAACGATCGTCTAAGGATGCAGGAAAAATTACAAAACAAGTAACGACGTATTGTGACGACTGTCCAAAAAAGCCTTTCCTTTGTTTGAACTGTTTCAATGAAAGTCACACATGAAAATATTTACAGGATATGTTATATTTATTAGACTCATATCATTTTAGCACCAAATGTACAACTGGTAAAAAAATTGCAGTGGGAGACCAAAAGTCTGCACAGCCTAAGTTCTGAAGTTGCACAGAATTTAGAGTTGTCTGGATTTCAGGTCATAAATAAAAAATTATTTAATTTAGATTTTTTTTTTAAAATGCTGGGGAGAGAAAGTAAATAAATAGGTTAAAAAAAACCATAAATTTTGTGACTTTTTAGTGGGGAAATAAGTATTAAATATGTTGAAAATAAAAGTCATATAAAAAGTATTTATGTGCCAAATATTTATTTACAGTAGTTTATTTTAAAACTTAAGAATGTTCTAGTTTGAGCCCATTTTCCTTCAAATTATACAAGAATCATTATTTTTGAAAAAGGCACACAGTTTTGTTGTTCTAAATTCATTTTCTTTTCACTATGATTTGTAGAAAAATTGTAAATTTATTTAGAACCTGACATTCTGATATGACCAAAAAAAAGTATTTTCGGTTCTACTTGTAACAAAAAAAAAAAAAAAAAAAAAAAAAATTGCTGGTACTTTTTATCATAAAGGAGCAGCAATCATTGCCAGGTGTTAATGCTAGGGCAAAATGTAACCTGAAAGAATGGTGACAACTCTAACGACACATTCAATACACATCTCTGCTCAAAAATATATAATCAAGGTTATTTGAAGTAAGTCTTTTTGATTATTCGTTTTTCTGAAATAATTGAATGCATGTTTCTTTATCATTTAACAGTTGCCAAATCATAAAATCGATTTGGTTCCTTCATTAAAATGAGATAAAAAATGTCACTAGATTAAAACTTGCAGAGTCACTGTGTTGAGTGCAATTTGCTATATAAATTTTTTATTTTTATTGTATTGCTTTGTTCACTTGTGAGCATTTTGACTGCACACATTTGCCCTATTAATGGAAGATTATTAAAATTAACATTCTTGGCTAATCATTAGTTATAGCCACAAGTTTGATAACTGTGGGAAAAAATATTCGATTAACAATAGAAATAAAAATGATAATCCTTAAAATGTGGTAGCTTGTATCACTGCTGAATGAGACAATCCATTGGTGATATTTAAGATGCTGTGTGATCTGCCAGATATTGGCAGATTTTCGGTCTTCTACTGTAATTCTTTTTTTGCCATATTGTGTAAATATTTATTTATTTTTTGTGTTTTCCTGTATAGTTATTTTTTTATTTCCTTATTAAAAATCCATTAAATTTTGATAACTTTTATTCTGAGTGAGATTAAATTAAAATGAAAAATTTTTACTTTTGTCAAAAATATATTACCTTGATGTAAAGTAAAATAGATAGTTTTTTACATATGTATAAAAACAGGTAAAAGTATTTTAATGTTAATATTAAATTTCTGAATTGCATAAATGATAAAATCATCAAAAAATATGGATTATGTTACAAATCTCTGGAATTCTATTTGATATGCTTCAGTGATGAGCATTGAATGATCAAAACAGTCTGGATGGCTATGTGATGGTGTGTTGGTTCTCCCGTATTCTGAATGAGCTACCATTTGTAAATGGTAGGCCGGTGGTCTCAGACTGGCAGCCCACAGGACGCATGCATCCTCCAAAAAAGTTTTATGTGGTCTGCAAATACATTTCAGTTGTGCAGTGTCGACATAGAGAAGTCTGCGAAGTTACTGGCTAGGATCTGTACCTAGGCAGTCTCGGCCACGGGGGTATAAAATTTATGAATTGGTGGTTCTGAAGCTCTGGGAAAGTCCTTATTGTCCGCCTCGGAGTCTGGCACGTCCTAGCGCTCGTGTGCTAGTACCCGTAGGGATTTCCCCCTGGTCGCTGTAATTCCCCGCTGCGACGGGCTGCCCGGCGACTGTAGGAGCTTGACGACCGGTGCTGCCTGGTGACGTATCCAGGTGGTGCGCGGCTCCACTGGAGGGTAATAGTGAGGTTGAACCTCCCGACGTGCCCGAAGCAGAGTCGACCTTAGTCAGCTAGTTCTCGGAACAGGGAAGCCAAAACCTTTAGTATTGCAAAGATTTCAAGATTTTAGTTATTTTATATTCAGGTTTACATTATATTCCTTGCCATTAAAAACTAACATGAATAATAAATACACAACAAAAAAATCTGTAAATTTAGCTAATTAATATATAGTGTGATATAAATCTTATTCAAAGATTTGAAAATACAGATTTTGTTCATGCTTATCAGAGAAAAAATTCTCATTTTCTTAAAAAAAAATTGTGAACCGTCATCTGTTGTTTTCAAATCATGCATTTGGCTTGCATGCAATTTAAGTTTCAGACCACTGTCATACTGGTTATCATTCATACTGAACCACTCACTCTTCCTCAAGCTGGAGCAATTTTAATGCATTACTGTAGAATGCATGAGGATCATGAAAGGCATACAATTATTTTACTTAACCCAGTGAGTGGCATGGCATTTTGGAGTTGTTCATGAAGAACTGCATTTGAAATTCCTCTTTTACCTAACTTTATATAATTAGTTACCTTAGTCTCTATTTTCATAAACTTTCATTTATTAAGATAATATTTAACATAATGAAAGAAAGTAAGAAAATAAAATAATTTAAATTATAAACCAATATATTACAAGTAACAAGAAATTCTAATGATCAAATAAAGGTAGTTATGCTGCTTAGGGGCTTAAAGTGGAACAAAGTGTCAGAACATCCTGTTGAGTTAAAGATATCTAGCCTAAAAGGATTAACTCATACTCTTAATCCTGTAAGGGATAAGATTTTTAAAGCAAGAAAAGTATGATGTAGTTTTTTATTTGTTTACATTTTATTCATTTCATGTTGTTAACTACTCAGTAAATGTGCACTCCCCCCCCAAAAAAAAAACTAAGAAAGAAAGAAAAGCAGTAATAGTGCTTTCAGATTCTACCAGTTCTTTAGTTCTTTACATTTTTTTACAAACAACTGTGATTTCACCATGCCCAATATTTTCATGGCACTTTCAAAATTAAAACAAACAAAAAAATCTTAAAAAAAGAAAATCTGAAAGGTTTCAGATTTTAAATTGTGTCCCATGGGGCTTTTTTTTAACGTTTTGTGTGTTACCTTTATATATTAAATATCATGTTCTTTGCACTTAAACCGTAAAATTCAGTTCAATCACTGTCGGCAAACAATTTTAAATGATGATTCTTTAGAATTTCCGATACACAGTTCCGCAGTTCTGTGTGGAAAAAGGTCCTCCCCCCCGGTGAGTGTTCTATTCGCACTTTTAAATCATTGAGTTTGTTACTGAAAAATTCATTAAAATTTTCAAAATGAAATCAATAAAAAAAACAAATCCAAATTTCAATTGGTCTTCCACATCTCATATTTATAGGAGGTTATCATTCAAATTTTATTGCTGTATGTACTGTTGTTTTATCACAGTGCGAGAAATATACATACATTTATGCAGATTTTTTGTTATTTAATTTCTTCAAATATAATGCAGGACTCTTAACATTTGGTGGCAACAGTTTGAAAAGTGATTCACCGTTTATAGTGATTTAACCCAAAATTGCAAAACGAAAACAATAGTCCTTCAGGGATGAAGCCCCTTTGGACTAATAATGTATCTTTAGAACCTATATATGTAAAAAGTTCATCAGGAAATGTTTGATTTAAATAGGCATGTTTAATTTAATTTTTTTTTTGATTTATTTATTTCATGAGTTACAGAATGTAGTGCTATTCTAGCAAATTCATTTTCCCTTTCAGCATACCAAATCATCACTTACCAAATGACATGTTTAGTGGATTTTTTTTTTTTTTTCATTTCATGAATCCAGTAACATTGTTAGTAGATTTAATAAGATTAAGAATAATTTATGCAGTAATATTATTAGGAGATTAATGATGACATTAAAAATAATTTATCTAAGAACTTTGCCTCTTATATATGAAAACATCATTTTTCTTCATTTTAATATTATTATTCCCAACGTTGCTTTTGATAAAACAAATAAATTGTCAGCAGTGTGTTAGATAAGATTACTTTAACAAATTATAAACCTAATGGTAATAAACTATCTATTTTCCATAAAGCTCACCTATGTCAGTCATTGAAGTGTAATTTAAGCTAGAGTGAAATCGTTTTTCCTTTGAAGATACCTACTTAGCTGTTTTCTCCATGAGCACTGATAGCACTGAAGCACTCGCCATACCAGAGGATAAGTTTTTGTGTACCTCTAAGGATTTCTCCCGCCTTCTTAGCATCCTTCATGATGTAGCAGTCAGCACACTTGATGTGTATTCGAGAGGTCCGTGGTTAGAGTCCTGGCAAGGGTATTGCTCATTTTTCATCTCTCCTGCTTCAAAATAACCTAATAACTCTGCAGTGGTGCCTGAACTGAAAAAGGTGGTGGATGATGATTCTTCACCAACAGGATCTAGTGATTTGGTCCCCTAATCCCCAGTCGCTCTTTAAAAAGGGGATTGTATAAGGTATTTCTCCCTCTTTCTTAGCATGTCTTTGTGGTGTAGTGGTCAGCATACTCGACGCTTATTTGAGAGGTCCATGGTTCGAGTCCCGATGAGGGCATTACTAATTTTCATCTCTCCTGCTTCAAAACAACCTACATACCTTCATTAAAAACTTCTGCCTCCGTTTAGAAATGCAGTTACTATTTACTGGAATTCTGTTGTCAACAAAGCAATATCTACTCAAAAACTACTTTAATTCTTTCTTTTAAAAGACTAATCGCCTGCTTGGCCAGTTGCCTAGCATAGTTATGCCTGCCTAGAATAACTATATACATAGTTTAAAATAACTGTAATCCTGCCTAGAATAGCTGTTCTAGACCAGCTGCTTAGAATAGTTATTATGCTAAAGAAAAAGTTTGTAATTATTTAAATGAATCCAGCTAGCCTAATTTCATAAAAATATTTCTGATTATGCATCTCATCATTTAAATGCATTTTTATTTAAATCAGTCAAATTAAAAAAGTGCAAAAAGTATTTTTAAGAACTAAGTTCATTGCTTTTAAGTTGTTTATTTTGTTAATCTACAGTGGACGGATTAAATTTGGAAGTTATATATCTTTTGCTTTACTGAATGTCAACATGCTGACACATGAAAGATTAAAGTATTTTATTTAAAAGAAACACATTGCTTTTAAATATCTGAGTCCGTTGATTAAAACTGAAAGGTAAAGTGTCTTGCATTTTGCCAAATGGCAAGTCTTGTGCTCTGGAGATATAAATGTTTTATTTCGAGCTTTATTCCATTGCTCACTTTTAAATCACTGAGTTCATTGATTAGAATTTCTTTAAATATGTACATAATATGAAAGAAATAAAAAGCAATTTGAATTTCAATATTTTTGTTTAGAGGTGCAGCTGATTTAAAAGACTATATATGTTAAAATTATTTGGTACTGTCAGTTTTCTACAGTGCAAGGAACATACATGCTTGCATACATATATACATACAAATTCTTCATTATTTTATAATAGAGATGATGATCACGCGTTCAAGATAAGGCTAGATGTTCTGAACTAACCACTGAAAGTCCTG